CTTATTAACCAAGCGTGAGGGCCGTACTGGGAGAATATCAGCCCGAGGTCTTGACAGTATGGACCGAGCACAGCGAGCTCCATACAGAAAAGACCGAGGGCCAATATTCTTCCAGTACGGTCCCGAGCAAGCTTGGTTAATAAGAGAATTATTGTACGACTGAAGTTCAAAGGGACACAAGTGCGGTATCATTCGGAACCATTCGGGACAGTGCCCAGTCCAATACTGAGAAAATATTGACCAGCAATAGAGCATTTTGATTAGTTAACCGCCTCCCGGTTAGCTCAATTGGATAGAGCGCTGGACTGTTGTGCGGGAGGTCGAGGGTTCGAGCCCCGGCCGGACCAACACTCAGGGTCTTAAAAATAATTGAGAAGAATTTGCTACCTTTCTATAACATCAAGAAATGGTTAGATATTCTAGTCTTCTCGGATAGGGACGAATAAATGGAGGTCCCGTCTCCTGCAGGGTTGGGGTAGGAGACGTTAATTTCCCACACACGAGATTACTGTGTGATGGATGTCCTCCCCTGGGGTGGGATGGGTGGGATATAGGGCGCACTTAATAAGGAGCCTCGCTCTGTTGTGCGACCCTCACCACACTCTGGTGAAAGTGAGTAAATTAAATTAAATTAAATATCATAACCATTATCATTATCATCATGATAGTTATCCCAACAATACCATATTTGTTCTAATTATGAATATCGTTACCATTTTTATTAAATTGTCATCATCGTCGTCATTATCAATATCATCACCATCGTTATTATTATTGTTCTCCTCAGTATTATAATTTCTTATTTATTGCAGCTATGATTTGGTGAAAGTCTATCAGGGAAGAAGGCTGATCCGTCGTCTGACTCACGGAGGGGAATCTAATGACAAAAAATATTTCAAGAATAAAAATGATGAGAACGACGACGACGAGTGTGATGACGATGATGAGGACCAAAAGGATGATAATGATGACGATGAAAAAAATGGAAAGAGAAAATACACGTTTGCCGAGCCTCTGAGAGCAGACAGTAAAGCAAAAGTTGTCTCCGTTCATGGTAATGGGGAACCCGTGAGGATTGTGTTCAAATCCGATCCATGGGTGACAAGGAGAGGATTCTTTGCCCATTACACCATGGGGAAAGGTAATAACTGTGATGATACATTAATACAATCAAGAGATAATCCAATACAATAAAGATACAGCAATCCTAAATTGATATCTGCTGGTAATTTTAAAACTGATCACGACATTTGTTGATAATACGTGAGAAATAACACTCCTGTATCACACATTATGATGACGAGAAGCCTTTGATTGTTAAGCAAATTCTCCTCGTCTACAGCTCAGGAAATGTATTGAGAACTGTATGAAAAATATGTAATTTGACTTTTTTATGTTGTAGAGGTTTAATTATTACCTCTTGACAATCCATCTCCTAAATCTCCTTGACTTAACAATCTATTCTCTCTTTTAGCCCTATGTGCTGGTCCTCTGGCTTCACCATCCGGGAACTTTACTTCGCCAGGTTTTCCAGCAAATTATCCGAACAATGTTGAATGTAAATGGACTATCACTGTTCCTCTTGGATCAACTTTGGTTTTCAATTTCCGCGCCTTTGAAACAGAACGGTGGTAAGTTCACTGTTCTTCAGCAAGTTGTAGTGATAGGAGGAAATGGAAATCATCAAATCATGTGAAGTGACATGGCCTTTAATATGTCCCAAAACGTATGCTTTTGTATCAGCTCGAGGTTTGGAAATAAAAGCCTTGTGTCACATTGAGAACTGCTCAAACTATGATAGAACTATTAAGACCATATAAAGAAAAAAATCCTGAAAACATCCTGAAAACCTTAATCGTTTCAATACTTCCATAAAAGAGATAAACTTTACTTACCTCGGGAATAACACGGAAATAATCTATCCTCGTATCTCTCTTTTCTTTTGAAATATATCTTATACGCAGGGTTCTGTTTCAGAGTAACTTGGCTAAACAGGACGCTTAATTCAAGTTTTCTAGATATTTTGTATCCAGCTTCTACACGTTTATGAGCGAGATCGTAGATTTTCCTCTTTTATATAAATTTCAAAAGCACAAAAGAGAATAACGTACAAAGTTGTGAAACAAAGTAATGCAACTTTGTTTCACAACTGTTAGTAAAAGCTTTTTTTCCCTTTTTTTTTTGTAGTTTTGATCACGTCAAGATTCTCCGTGGCTTTCGGGAGATACGTAGTTTGAGTGGCATATACGGGGCTTATTCGTGGTTCACAGGGAGACACGACGATTTCTTAGATGACGATTGTGATGATGACGACGATGATGATGACGATGACGACGACGATTGGATGAAAAAATTTCGTCATGGATTCGGGATGACAAAAATTCATGGTTTTCCATTCCTGCCTCGAGTATTCATCCTGGGAAATGGTGAACACATATCGACTAATTTCAAGTCCGACAAGATTATCACCTTTAAAGGATTTGATGCCACTTACAAAGTTGTACGAGGTAACTTGCTTTTTGTTCATGATATTCTCTAGGTGAGAAGAAACTCTTACACAAAATGGCAGATCTGAAAAAATGGCTGAAATAACTTAGTTTATTTTTCAATTTATTAGATTCGCCGACAGGCAGGGACACCGCGACAGCTTGCGCCAATTACTGCGGGTCCAGTAAACCCACCCATCCCACCCCAGGGGAGGACATCCACCACACAGTAATCTCGTGCGTGGGAAATTAACGTCTCCTACTCCTACCCCTGTAAGAGACGGGCCTACGGTTTTATTCGTCCTTATCCAGAAAGACTAGAATATCTTTCTATTTCTTGATGTTATAGGAAGGTAGCAAATTCCCCTCAGTTATTTTAAGACCCTGAGTGTTGGTCCGGCCGGGGCTTGAACCCTCGACCTCTAGCACAACAGTCCGGCGCTCTACCAATTGAGCTAACCAGGAGGCGGAGGCTTATGGAGGGAAGGAGGGTGGTGAGCTTCGATTTCCGGTACTTTTTTTATTCATCATAAAAGGGTTAAAAAAAAAAGATTGGCAAATATCTTATTTTAGCTTCTCATATGGAAAGATTGTTATTCACTCAATTTTCTTTTCTTGTCCCTATATTCATGTGTTAATCTTTGGACATTACCTGAGAAAAGTCTACGGAGTCATTTAGCTTTATAGCCAATCTTTTATAAGTGTGTTCGTATTATGGCATGTCGCTCTTCCAGCAAATTTTTTTCAAGGTCATTGATATACTCATTCATAAAGAAAAGCTTATCAATGAGTATTGAACAATTTTCATTGCTTCAAGACGCACGGTAAACAACTTTTTTACTGATTAATTAGCGTGATCATCCAAACCATGGCCATGAATCGAAAAGCTGGTCCGTCACTCGCCATCAACTCGTGACTTAAAGAGCTTTTCAGTTTTTCTCTCAAATCCCAGACAATCAGAATATGTATATATTTCTAAAGGAGCCGATCCTTTTGTTAAAGAATTGGCTCTAATCAATCACAGAAAGCGTAACATCACATTGTTTATTCCACAAACGTAAACTTGGCTAATACGTTTTCTTTTCAGGTCCAGTAAAAGGAAAGTGATGAGTGATGACTACAGAATGAAC